TACAAACCTATAACTATATGTTCAGAATACTTACATTGTTTGTGGGGGAGAAAATGTTAAGGAAAGTTTGTAAATACAACATCCTTGAATATAATGGGCTTTTCCATTATATTAGACATTTTCAGTGCCCAAAATTCAACCCCAGTAAAGTCATGTACAGAGACAACTTCCTTCAACTGAGAAACCAGGGTTTTCTGGTTCTGTAGAAATCACTTTTCCACTTACCTTCAGGGGCTCAGTTACAGTCAGTGAGATATGTTTTTGGTCAAGGTTGGATTAAGTACTGTTGTTTTCAATCTTAATCTAATCTCTTATCTCTCTCCCACATCTTCCAAAGCAAAATAAGGTTTAATTATTTCAGAACCTCAGACTACTTCCTCCCAATGAACTAAGTCAGTGAGAAATACTTAAAAATTAGTATGTAGTATTTGAAGTTAATAGCATTTTAAGTTTGAACTTCAACTCTAATTGATGATACAAATTCAACAGTATAGGGTCATAGTGTCAGATAAACAGAAAGATTCACTGCTGGAAGCAGGGTCATGTTCAGGGCCAAGGTACTACTAGGTTTAGTGCACATGGATCAGGATGCCCCTGTTGTAAGCCTGCTTAATGTGACAGAGGGGCTTCACTAAATGGCAGAGTTGTTAAAACAATACTGAATTTATTTCTCATTACCGTTCAAAAGCTAAGTGGCATATACACACATTCTATTTTTAAAATACTCTGTTAATATTTCAAACAAAAATTTCCAGCATTTTGCAAAGAAATATTTCATTCATAACATTTATCAAAGGCAAATGATTTTTCATAATTTAAAAATAAGCATGATTATTTAAATGAAATAATTTGTTTTTTGTGGAATGAAGTTTCTAAAATGTATTAATTCTAAATACATTTTATTTAGCCCAGTAGCTTTCAACTAGGGGCAGTTTTCTCCTCCCTTCTCCAATAAGGGGCATTTGGCAATATCTGGAGACATTCTTGGTCGTCACAAAATGAGGAGGGAGAGGTTGCTTTTAACACCTAATGAATAGAGGCCAGACAGTCAGTCCCCCATGACAAAAATTATCTGATCTCCACACCAAAATATGTCAATAATGTCAGGTTGAAAAACTCGGATTCAACCTAACAAATCTGAAGTTTACATTGTTTTGTGTAGCAACTCAGTCAGAAAGGTTAACTCCGTGAGTTAACCAATATGCCAACATTTGACAAATCTACTCCCATTTCCTTCTGCTGACCCTCCTATTATCATGTGAGGGAGGATCTCATATCTGTGACAAAATAGCTTATTTGTTCTATATATTCAAAGGTCACCCAAGGTTTAGTTTAAAAGGTATGGGAAACATAAGAAAGAACCTATTCTGTCCCAGAGCTGGGTGAGCTATCTTAACTGTAACCCAGATTGCTACTCTCATTATTATAGAGAATTTTTATAGAAACTTCTTTAAGTTGAGATTCAGACAGGTTCATCAACTTGCCAAATATCTCCAGCTAGTAAGTGACAACTAGTGACTACTATCCTAAGTGAGAATATATATTTTCAAATTCATTAATACTTTTTTGTATATACAAAGAAAATCTCTGAATCACTGATGATTGTTACTACTCAAACAAAATTTCTGAATCATTAATGGTAGTTAATGGGATGAGGAGGATAATTACCTTTTCACCATAGATTTTTCTATATTATTAGAATTTTCTAATAATTCTAATAAGATAAAGTAAGCATCTATTACTCTCATTTGAAAACCAATAAATTTTGAAAGACTGAAACAAACCACTGACAAGAATAATTTTAGGATTAACCCTTGACAAAACTGGAAAGTAGGCGATGGTCCCCAGTGCATGCACCTGTTCTCTTGTTGCTAACCCAATTTCCCACTCAGGATCCCTGAACCAAAGCTTGTTTACTTACCCATGTCCAAAAAAAGGATCTAAAAATGTTATTCACATTAAGATTAAATAGGTTATTATTTCATGGTGTGCTCACTGAACAGAAGATAGTATCTTAGATCAAAAGAATGATTCCTGTTTACTGCTGGAATTGATTACAGAATGGCACAAGGGTTTGAGGGCAAGACCTTTCTCTTCCTGTGGTCATTCTACATGAAACCATCTACTCAGACAGTTTCTAGCAAGGGACTCTGCCTGTGGGCTCACTGCCAATGATGGGGTTACCTAATAGAGAGTGGGACACTTAGGTGAGTGAGCAGATCCAGTGACTGGCATATGCATGACAAGTCCCTAGTATATAGAAGTTTGTGGTGGTGAGTGAGCAGATCCAGTAACTGGCGTATGCATGACAAGTCCCTAGTATATAGAAGTTTGTGGCTTAACAGGCACCCAAAGACCCACATTACTCCAGGTAATTTCTCTCCTTTCTGATCTGAACCACTCATGAAAAGGATCGGTTAGGACAGGCAGTTCAATATGATCAATTTTAAATATTTTATGTATGTATGTATGTATGGTATGTATTGAATGCTAACATCAGTAACTCGGTGCAATGAGAACTGACAGTAAAGCCAAGTTCTTTATTAAGCTTTGGGAAGTCAACACTTCCAGAGCTGAGCTTCCCAATTTGTGTGAGGACTTTGGTCGCATACATGCTCTGAGAATTCTATCATACTCCCATTCCCTTCCTGGCCCCTGAACCCAGGCTGTCTACTCCTGTAGTTAAAGAGTATGCGAGGTCAATCAAGGATGAGAGGTTGATTCACCATTAACAATGGTTTTGTATCCCACTGTAATGGGTTGAATTGAATTGTGTCCCCCCAAATGGTATGCTGAAGTCCTAACACTTGGTACCTGTGGATGTGACCTTATTTGGAAATATGATCTTTGAGGATATAAACAAGTTAAAATAAGGTCATAGTGGATTAAGGCTGACCTTAAATCCAATGACTGGTGCCCTTATAAGAAGAGGAAGATTTGGAGGCACAGGGACATACACATGACACGCATATACATGAAAGACAACCACATGGAGGAAAGCAGAAATTGGGGTCAAGCAGCTACAAGCTAAGGAACCACAAGGATGCCCAACAGCCATCGGAAGCTAGGAAGAGGCAATGAAGGATTATTCCCTAGAGTCTTCAGAAGGAATACGGTCCCTCCAGCACCTTGATTATAGACTAGCGTCCAGAACTGTGAGAAAGTAAGTTTCTGTTGCTTTAAGCCATCAGTCTGTAGTCATTTGTTACAGTTTTAAGAAACTGATACACTCACAGTCCCAGATTATCACAGTACCATACCTTTTGAAGCGGAAACACAGGAAAACAAACAAACAAGTGAACGACACCCTGGTTATGGCTATATATTCATACTTAAGTAACAGTACACATGACTAGTACTTCCCTCATGACTTCTTCCAAATGCTAGTTTAAGACTCCTTCTAGGAAAGGGGAAAGTACAAGTTTTATTAGAAAAGAATTCAGTCTCTAAAATAGTACCCATTCTACAGAATTAGCAAGGACAGAAACACAGAGGAGGCTCATAAGTTATATTCTCAGCCTTAACTGAGTAAATGTATGAATGGAAATAACTTGTAAAAATTTACTCTAAAACTGTTACCAAAGACACTATCCACAGTGCCACTCATTTGTCTCTACATAGTTCCCATGTCAACACACAAAATCTCCCAGAATTCAGTGCTAAGAAATATTGTCACCTCTTTTAAAAAAAGTAGTGACTCTATAGCATCTTACTACACTGATGGACAATGACTGTAATGGGGTGTGAGGGGGGACTTGATAATATGGGTAAATGTAGTAACCATAATGTTGCTCATGAGAAACCTTCATAAGATTGTACATCAATGTCATGTTAATAAAAAAAAGGCCTGTTTCATCCATTCATCAGATAATCAGTTTTTACTTGATGTATTACAATAGCCCCTCAAACAGGTCTCCCTGTTTCCATTCTTAACCGCCCATAGTGTATTCTTGGACATTAGGCAGAGCAATCCTTTTATATGTAAATCAGATCATGTCAGTGCCCTGGACAAAAACCGTCTAGGATTCCCATCACACTCAGAATGACATGCAAAGCTTTTTCAGGGCCTACCAGGTCTAACATGCTCTGCCCTAGGCTATCACCGCACTTCACATCCCACTGCCTTCCCTTCCCTCCCACCACTCTTGCCAGTGGGCCTCCTTGCTGCTGCTCTGAACTCTGAGGGCCTCTGCACTCACTGTTCCCACCATGCAGAGGCTCTTCCGGCTCTTCCCCAGGCCTGAACCACGGCTTCCTTCAGATCTCTGCTCATGTCCCCTCTGCAGACAGTCCTTACCGCCCCATCCTAAAGAACAACCCCAGAGCTCCCTACTCCCTGAACTTCTATTTTTCTCGTGGCATTTATTCACTTCCCGACATTACTGACATTGCAATTTGGATTTAATTGTTTATTTCTTCATCATTTTTGTTCTGCTATCAGAATGTAAGCTCTATGAGAGTGGGAATCTTGTCTGATTTGATCACTTGTTGTATCTTCAATGCCAAAAATGGTGCCTATTATAGAATAAACACCTGATAAATAATTTCTTGAATCAGGAAATAAATAAATGCATTTTTTAAGTTGCTTTGTTTTATTTTTTACCCTGGCTGATGGGGCGTTTAGTAATAAATTAAATGACTGATACTAACATAGTAGCCTTCACTGTGAGCATACATGTTTCTTCTCTTTTCATATTCATACATTCTATTCTTATTTTAATAACCTCATACATCCCTTTTTTTAGGTCTTTCCAAATCTTTGGAAATGAGACAGAAAGACACCAATAGGCACTTGGTGCCTGGGAGAAAACCTTCACTAATTCTATTTGTTATTCAGCAATAAATCTAAAATCTAAAATCTAAAATGTGATTCAAGACAACCCTCAAGCCAGAAGCCCGAATCTGGGCCTCTAGATTGGTGTTTGGAAGCCTAGAAAGAGCTGGATGAGAATGAGCCAGTGGGCCTGGCAGCACTGGTGAAGGAGGGAAGCAAGTTTTACCTTTTCACTCCTGCAGTTGTTCAGCCCCATATTATTCATGGAGGACAGTTTCCCATCCACACCATGTGGCTGTTGCTGCTCCCGCTGGATCTGCTCTCGCATCTTCCGAGCCTCCTGAATGGCTTTCATCACTGTATCCTGATCCCCAAACAGGGCAGGGGAGTTGAGACTGGACAGGATATCTGCACACACAGGATGCATTATTACAGGCTTGTGAGGCTAGATTCTTAAAAAAAATACTGCTACTGTCCACCCCCCTATAGAGTACTGCCTTCTCTGAATAAGGAAAAGGGTTCTGTTTGCTATTAAGAAAACTATGATGCATTGAGCACAAAAAGCCAGGGCAAGCAATCTGTGCTGGTCTTTTCAGCCCTTGGAGGATTCCCCAGCACTCCAGTTGATCGGGCTCTGTCAACCCACCTCCTCACAAACGAAGTTTCCTACATTCTAGTCGCACACATTTACATCTGTTCTGTCTCTATCTACTGATAAGCTGAGGAGCAGTGGAGGAGGAGGAGGGGAGGGTAGAGAGACATCTCTTCAGGATGCTGGTTATAGTTGGTGTGCTAATGTAAGAAAGCTGTTTGCCACCTAGCAGAGAAAAACCTGTGAGGCTGCATGTGTACTTCAGTGGCATCTGTATCTGCATGTTCCCATGTCCACTGCAGGAGAGAGGGGGTGGGAAGGAACACACCACCATCTCCATTCCCCAGCCACTGGCTGGCTAATGAAGCATTCCACCATCATGCCGCCTTAGTTATTTACCAAGAGAATGACAACCAATTCCCTATCCCCAACCCAAACCCCCACTGCTCTCAGCTCCCTGTCTTCATGATAGTGAAGCTGCATGTGTGGGAATGGTTTTCATATAAGTTAAAGCTTCAAATAAAGTGAGAATAAATATTGACTTTTATTATATTCTATGAACACAGAGGGAAAAATATGCAAAATTAAACTAAATTTCTTCCATATCTTATAATTTTACTGTAGGTTAAAATTAATTCTTTACATAAGCTTTTGCAATTTTAGACAAAAAGAAGGCAATTGTTTGCTGACTGATAGATTCAGCTGCTGAGGTAAAGTTAAATGTGATCCACTTGTTTGTGTCCTGGTATGAGCATTTCATGGTACATGTATGTGTGTATACATGTGCACATATGTACATGCATGTATGTGTGTGCATGTGCATACCTCATACAGGACAGAGGAAATCCTACTATAGCCAAACTCACACTATGTGTCTGTGTGTATGCAATGCACACATATATTTATTTGAGTTTAGAAAAAATTCCCAGGGCTACCTACAGACAACTGTTTAAAAGTCAAACAACCACTTTTTAGGATACAGAAAACCTGTATCTCTTGCTCTGGAACTTTTCTGGTAAAAACAAAATTAAGCATTTCTATTCAATATTGTCTGGATAAGAATGTGATTACTTCAGTCCATTTCTAACTCATGATCTAAGAAATATGCCCTGCTGAAATATAAATTTCCTAACACCTGTGACAGTCATCTTTGTCCCTCACAATGCTTAATACAGCAAACGAGTGCTTTCCAAACAAAATTCAGAAGCCATTCAAGATCAAGTCTATTATTTATCCTTCAGTTGGCTTTTCCTTTCTCATCTCAAAATTTCCAACAATACAGCAATCATATTCACATGCTGGAATCTCTCTCCCGCATGCCTATCACTGACATAGAGTGAGAACCTCCTGGCCCCTGAAAGAGGCATCCTGATTCAACATGAGCATAGGCTGCTGTATGGATCCTAATGTCCCAAATTTTTATGAGGAAGATTTGCATCTCACCACTGGAAAATTCACTTAAACTCAACACAGTTCAGCAAAGACTCCAACCGTGAGTTCATAAAAAGAGCACGGAGTTATATATGAGAGTTATATATGAGAGGACCTGGATTCTAGTCTGCATCTGCTAATTAATAGCTGCATGGCTGTGGGCAAGTCATTTCACCTATAAGAACCACAGTTTACTTTATTATACAGTCAGGGTAATAATACACTACCTAACTCACAAGATTATTGTGAAAAATCAAATAAGATTAAGACAGGCAAAAATGTTTTTTTAACTGTAATGGCTACACTTACACATTATTTTATTCAGTATAATAAGCATTTCAGGCTCCAGGACTTAATACCACAAGGCAGGTAATATGGTGAAGAAATGCTAGTTCTAAATCCCTGTCCCTTTGAATCTGTGTCATTATTCGAAAATTAAGAGATGTAAAGAGCATAGGAACAATGTTAATACTTGGCACTCTGCCACTGACACGTGCTTTCAGGTTTATTGTTGCTGTTTAATTCCTTATGTGTATGTTCACGGGTTGGTATTCTTTCAGTTCAGTCTTTTTAAATCACATGCCTTCTAGGTGCCAGAAAGCATGTTAGGCACTTTATATGCATTCCTCTCTTTTAGTCATCGTGATGACCTATGAACTAGGTAATATTTTCCTTTCAGAGATGAGTAAACTGAGTTCAAAAATATTAAATAACTTTCCCAGGGTCATATAGGTAGTAAGTGAAGGCTTTTGGTCCAAGCCCAAATCCAGGTTTCTCCCGTGTACTTCTCACCCTGGGGTATGAATATCCCTGGAGATACTGGGCAATGTATCAGAGAATGTAAGAAGCCACAGGATTGCTATGACATATCTTACTTGGTATCAATTTTATTTCATATTATTTCATATTTAATATTATATTTCATCAAATTTATTTCGTATTTCCTATTTTGAAAAGAAAATATAAAATTTCACAGAAAATTTTGGCATTGAGCAGGCAACTTTGAGGCTTGGTACCTTGGGCCCCTGGAGGGTTCCTGGCCCTTGTGTCGCCCTCAGTTTTTATCACTCTAACAAAGCACAGACATTCTTAAGTCTCCAATGTGCTGGATCTAATGCATCAACTTCTCAAGAGCTCCTCCCAGCACGATTTATATGCTGACCTTTTCCAAAAGTTCTAATCACTTAAGACACCAAATTGGGTTATGTTTCAGGAGAAAAAGATTTTATTTTAACTTTTACTTTGTTTTCCTAGGCTAGGGAACACTCTGGAAACATGAAGAGGTCATCACTAAGCAGATGTGCTTTCTTTTGTCTAATTCCCAAGTCTCTGCCCGGTGTTGACCTTTCCATTTACCTAAAGAGGATCCTCTTGCCAAGCTTCCTCCAATGGGGCTGGGGATGCTGCCCTTGGTAGGCAGAGTGACAGGGCTCGTTTTGCTCACTGGGAAAAGGCTCTGGGTGGGAGAAGTTGGGGACTTTACAGGTTCAGCTGTCTTGGGTCGGGATGAGAGATTCAGTGGCTGCGCTGCTGCTTCATCCTACAAGAGTTTAACATAAGTAATTATTTTTAAAAAAGAAAGACAAATGAAGCACATTATCACTTAGTAAGCCACAGTTATTTTACACCTCAGAGACAATGCCACATTCTCCTACAATAATAACAAAAGAAGCTAATTATCTACCTCCTTGAAGATTCCTTGGAAGGAAACCTCATTAATTTCCCTGTGTTATGCTTCTATTTACATTAACTGTGTAGTTGGATCATTCTTTTTGCCAAATTAAAATCTGAATTAGCTCACATTACAGCTTAATTTCCTAATGTGTTTTCAGGGATCTAAATTAACCTAGGGCATTTACAAAGAATTATTTAAAATTTCAGCAGCTCTGTAGTGCTTTTGTGTTATTCTTTCTGAAAAGTTCATGGAACTATAAATAGGCTCTGCAGCTAATTTTTTTATATATATTTTAAATCAAACAATTGCAAGTACTTTAAAAATGGAAACACAGAAAGCCTTCTTCTGCTCTCCTGGGCCTGTGCCCAGGGAGCCGCATGCCACAGCCTGGCTTCTATGTGGCTTTCTGGGTGTGGGCACCCTTCATGGTCTATATTCTGGTCTCTATTCATGTTTAAAATTAATTTTTGCAAGAGCAAGCACACATTATAATTATGTTTTACATACCATGCTATATACAATTTATTTTTCATGTCTAAAGTGATGTCTCTTTATATTCTTCGCTACATATATTTACAGAATGTCTATTTTAAGATGCCCATCCTTCTATATTGAGCACAGTATTCAGATATCTGAATTGTAACTCTAGTTTAACCAGGATCTTAAAGACTAAGCTCCTTGCCTTTATTGTCTCACTTATCCTGCCATAAAACACCCATAAACCACACATTCATTGTGCTGGAAATTTAGTTGTAATATGACCATATTCATTTAAATATTCAACTTTAAGACCTGTATTCTCATATTCTAAAATAAAATTGTCAGGAAATGTTAATTCCAGTTTTGTTTCTGAGAAGTCACAGAGAACTTGCTTTTAATGTCACTGTTTAAAATATACAGTGGAGCTTGGAAAAAGAACATTCTCCCCCCTTGGCAAATATGTGACCTCTCTGGGGCTCAGTTTCTCCCATCTATAGAAATAGAGGGTCTGATTCTAGTTGATCTCTAAAGTCTCTTCCAGTATTAAAGGTCATTGTTAAAGGGGGAACAAAAAGAGATGCCAGAAAATACTACTCAGGAAGGATAATTAGAAAGAGAAAATGAAAATAACATGGACCAGGGAGTCATTATTAACCAAATACGGTACTAGATATTTTTACAATATATTAGTTCATTTAACAATCAATAACTCTATAAGGTTGGGCAGTATTATTCTAAATTTACAAAGGAGGAAGGGGTCAGAGTGATAAAATCACTGTCCAAAGCCATTCGTGGAAGGACAAAATTTGAATTCTAATTTATTGGACTCTAAATTCTAGGCCCCTGTTCTACTAAACTACCAGAGAAAATAAGGTGTTTAATAATGTAGTGATTTTTTTTTCTTGGTAAGAAGTAATACAGCACATTTATGTTACAATATATTTTTTTCTACATCTAGACAGAGGATAGGTTCTCAGGAAACACAGTTATATCTATCATGAATGTCAAAATTACCCAATGTGATTAATTACAATTCACTTCCTCTTACTCTGAACTCAAAGGATATTTAGACTAGTTAGTTCCTTTACTCATATTTAAGTAATAGTGATTTATATGCTAGGGATTTAGTTTTCTTCATGTTTCTTTTATCTGTGGTTCACTGAGATTCTTAGACATCTGAGTTGAGAGTGTTCTTCAAGAAAATTTTCAGCCGTTATCTCTTCAAAAATATTTTTCTCTTCCTTCTTTCTCTCTCTAGGGCTCAAAGTGCAAATAATAGGCCTTCTGCACTGTTAGTCTTTTTTTTTTTATGTATTCACATTTTGGATAGCTTCATTGTAATGTCAGCAAGTTCATTACTGTTTTCTTCTGCAGTATTTAATCTGTTGCTACTCTCAGTCAGTACTTATTCAGCATACTTTTCCTCTCCAACGCTGTATTTTTCATTTCCAGACATTCAATTTAGGTCTTCCATGTCTTGCCTTATAGTGTTCGTGTTTTCCTCTACCTTTTTGATCATATGGAGCTTATAACATGTTTATAACATTTTTCTTCAGTTTTGAATATACTCTAACTTATTATTTATTTTTATAATTCAATAATTGCAGCTTCCATAGACAATGACACTAGGCAAGGAAGCATTAACAACTCCCAATCAAGTAAATAGCTTCCATCACAACCCCTCTGCTACTGGCCCTCACAGCCTGCTCTGGCCTGAAAGAAACTTTGTGGGTATATTTTAGGGAACAGATTTGCCTACCTCCTCACTTGGAAATAACTGGAAGTCTATCATAATGGCTGTTTTTACTGTCTCATCTACTAATTCTGTCATCTGTGTCATTTTGGGGGGGTCTCTTTCTATTGTTTTATTTTTCTTTGGTGTTCAAATTTTCTTGCTTCTATGAAAGACTGGTAATTACTTTGAATGGATGCTACAGATTGCAAATTTTACTTTTTTGGGTATGGGAGTTTGTATTCTTTTAAATATTTGTGGACTTTTGATCCTTCCTAGGTTTACTTTCAAGCTTTATTCGGTAGGTCTAGAACAGACATTAATATAGGGATAATTTGTCCCCATTACCGAGGTAATACTCTTCTGGGGACTCTATTTGATGCCGCACATGTCAGGAGGTCTTTTCACTCTGGCTAATGGGAATTCAAACCATCCTCAGTCCTTGGTGAACCTTGCCTCACTTATTTCTCTTCTCTTGGGAATCACTGTCTATATTCCTATTGAAAATGTATGAAACCATTGTGTTACATATTTTGTCCTGCATTTTAGATGTTTAAACGGGGAGAGTAAATCTGGTCTCTGTTCCTACATCATGATTGAAAATGGAAATCCTCTAGGTATTTAGTTAGGATCTCCTTTGGTATACAACTAGATATTTCTGTCATAACCACAATCACTACCACCACCATCACCATCTTCTTTATTAGCATCAGATCACCATCAATATACTAACATTTATGGAGTCCTCACTATATGTTAGAGGATCGATTGTATCATTTAAGATCCATCATAATAATAACTCCCATTTTCCAAAAGGCAAAATTTAGTGTTAAAGAAGTTAAACAACTTGCCCAAAGTGACACAGCTGGCATAAGTGGTAGAACTGAAATTTGAATAGAAATAGTCTGACTTCTGATGTTGACAGTTATAATAAACTAGAAATCTGGATGAAAGAAGGTAGACTATCTCTGTTTAATTTTGTTGCCTTCGGCAAACTATGCCCTATGTCATGTGGTCATGTTATATACAGAGTCAAAACAATGACTAGAGACAGAAGCATAAGATACTTTAGTGAGCATAATTCTTTCACCTAGATAGTTGTGATATTCCTCAGAACTTCTTCAATAATAGGTAAGAACTATTTTATTTTTTAATTTAGAACACTTGCTTTGTTTCTTGGTCTATAAATTTTACCCACACATACAAAAAACAATCTAATATGCATGAGGAATGTTTCCTTTGTTATTAACATAAAATATAGTCAATTCAAATTATATAGAGAACTCCCTAAGAGTCTGCATGTGGTCAAGTGAGTAATAAAATGCAGTTGGCCCACAAAGCTGGAATGGTAAAACAGATGTAAACTGGAATTTAACCAGGGAACATTTTACTCATCCAGTAAAGGCTTGGTTTGGTACAGTTCCATTTGGCCAACTCACTTATAAAATGACTTTTTCATGTTAAAATATCTAATGCTCAATACCTCGAGTCATTGCTGTTTGATACGGTCATACTCTAACTATAATGAAACAAAGTGCTTTGGTTTGAGTTGTAGTATACTGACTCTCACGCCCAAACAGAAACTCTGGAAACACAGAAATAATCTGTTTTCATAAGTAATGCTATCTTATTAAACTGCCTATGGTCATAGCTCAAGATTTCTAACAACAGAGCATAAATGTTCATCTTTTTCTCTGGAGAATCTAAAGGCATGGCTGGCATTGAATTAATTCCTTTGGGTGGGGCACAGGCAGAATGGTCCATCTTAATGACGTTTATTTTTTACCTCAGGGATTTGGGATCCATATTTTATAATGGCCTCTCATAAATCTACAAATTCCTATCTGCAAATTTTAGAAAATAAACCAATTTCAGTGATTTTATATTATTCAGTGCTGTTTTATTGGTCTTCAGTGTTTCCCAGGTGAAGATTTAATAATTGCAGAATTTCTCCGAATGCAGTGCTATGGGCACATTATAATAACACATCTGTGCTTAGCACACCTCTCTAAGCAGGTAAGCTGATGACACAAAACAGTTGTTCCTCTGAACCTATGAATTTGTTAATTCAATATAGGAAGGAAAGGCAATTATAAAATTCAAGCAGTACCAACTATAGGCACCAGCTGCAGAACAAAGCTGGAGTGGGTCATCAGGTTCCCCCTGTCACCAAGTACCCTGGCTGCCCCATTTTAAGACGCTAAAAATCAGTGAGGAAAGGCATCTATTAATGCCCATAATTTGGGAGAGCCTGTTATCCTGTCACAACTATATGGCATCAAACATGATTAGATAATGACACCACTCATTCCTCAGAGCCTACATTTATAATTATTTTTAAAGAAGAGACCTTATCAACAAACCATAGAAAGTCTAACATTAGGTCATTTTTTGTCCCCCTTTTTAAATCTAAAATTTTGCAAATCTCCTCCTCTATACTGTGAGGTACTATAAGTTGGTACTTAAACGGTTGCTCTCCACCTGTTTAAGGGGAACTAAGAAAGAAGTGCCACAAGCTTATGACGAAGATTGGTAATAAAGCCACTGCCATTCATGCCAATGAACATTAAAAAATGAAAGCCAGAATCCAAAGGGGAAAGACTCTTAAGAAGTGAGTTTGCAGATTTAGGTAAAAATATCACAATATGGCACTATTGTTATCCAAAGGGAAAAACCTGTTTCTCAATGCTCAATCTTGAAATTTACCATAAAGAGGAGCATTTGGGGGTTCCTTTATGGTGCTCTGCTCCTGCTGTTTATTCCCAGCACAGTCTGGTTCACTACCTTTCTTGAGAAGCTCTTTTCTGAACTGTTTCCACAATCCTGCAAAGCAAGTACCTTAACTTGAGTTACAGGGCTGGTCCCTCTCTTTTCATTTTTTATCCCAGTAGGTGAGACTGCCCCCGTGGTGTTTGGTGGCTGTGGAGTCGACGGCATCTTTGCTCCAGGTGACACCTGCATGCTGGCCAGCTGAGCGGCATAGAGCTGCTGCAAAACAGGGAAGACAAACATTATCTCTTTAAATACAGCTGAAATGGAGCTTCAAAAAAAGAAAAACTTACCGTATCATTAGATGACTATTTCTCTGACAGCCTTGCAATTTCTCTTTCACTATTTTTAAAAGAGAAAATGAGACCAAATAATACAACAGAAAGAAAGAATACTGGTATGGAAGCCATTGTTCTGTTCCTGGTCCTTCTAGCAATAACTTTATGACTTTGAACAAAGGACTTGATCACTCTAGAAGTCAGTTACTCATTTGCACAAAAAGAATTTGCCTGAATGGTCTCTAAGACTCTTTCTAGTGCCTAAAATCTTTGCAAAAAGTTCTTTAAATTGTCAATGTGTCTATGCATGTCATTTTAATTCATGAACTAAGAATCTAAACTCAACTTTCCTAGGTATTCCTAGAAGAAGAACATCATTTGTAGTCAATACTGACCAAGCTTCTCTGGGGATGCCAATCCTGCTGGATGATAAAAGTGCTGCCCTCAAAAGCCCTGAGGCCCAATGGCAACCCCTCTTTTCTCGGGGACTTATTTCTAGGCAGCATATAACATAATCCCAAAGAGAATATAGCCAGATTTGTGGCAAAAAGAAAGAGAGAAAGAAAATCAAGCTCCTTTTTCCTAGCACAGGATGTTAAATCCTTACTGTTGATTTTATTAGCTTTTGGGAGAAATTGGCAATAAATGAAATGTGTTAATCTGCTATGGTTAACCAGAACTTGGACACCTCAGTCTTAACACTATTTAATGCTTGAAAACTCCATTCAAATACTTCCTTTTCTTATCATCAAGATTAAGCCATTACCTTGACAGACATATTTCTATCGTAATAAATAGAAAGCTTCCTAGTTCATCAACCATAGAGAAAATAGCTCAAACTTTGCCATATTAGTAGGGGAGAAAAAACAGGTGGTTTGTATGTAATTTCCAGTATTACTATCATTCAGATGGACAAATAAAAAAAATTGCAGTAATCAAAAACAGACCTTTCAGCACATGTAATTAAATGAAAGCTTAATAAAGAATAATTTGCAAGAGCCAGATGTGCTTATGTCATGATTGTTGCTTTCTTTGGAACAATTTTTCTAATATAACAAGCCCCTATAGAAATTAAAGTTTCATAATTCTGTATGTGCAATGACTCAGTGGCAAGAAAAATTCACAAGTAAGAGTCAATCAAACTTCTTAGGGGGGAAAAGAGCTATCTTTTTTGTTTCATTTTTACTCTCTTATATCCTTTTCCTTTGAAATTCAGCCAGGTATCTTCAAAAGAGGGGCAAGCGAAGCTTCTGAAAAATTTATCTTGATTAAGCCAGTGAATAAGAAAACTTCTATACTGAGTAGAGTGGAGATGGCTGAGAGGTGAGCGAGTGTTAGCTACATAGTAGCTGGTATCATGACCAACAAGCCCTATGGAGTATTAGAGTCATACAATTTTAGAGGGACAAGAGTCCTTAGACATGATTTACATCTTTATCTTGCCTCAATAATTCACAAGATCAGAAGAAAGTCAATTCTACTCAATCTTGAGTCCTTCAGGAGACTTCAACTTGTGAAAAAAAAAGCAGAAAAACCAATTTTTGGAAATAAATCTATCTTTTTTTAAGTTGACTAAATTCAGAAATTCTTTAGATTGAACAATAGAGTGCTTTTTAGAAATAGTTTTAAGTACTTCCTCCAAAGCCTTATAATCATTTATTTTATATTCCTTTCTAAGTGGGTTATACCTAAGAAAGGCAAGACCCCAGAAACTCTGAGATTCCTCAGAATTGTGATTCTTTGGCATTCCTCATGAGTCATATAATCACTGATAAATTAGACACAGGAAGAAGTACAGCCACATTTCATAAAACTTACAGAGCTGGGTAAATTGGACAGTAGGATATCAGATAAGATTTAGGAGAATAAGCTTTGAAATAAATATCAGTGTAAAGATAGAAGGCACTCATGAAAATAAGTTTCCACATTCTGTCTAACAAAATATGGGATTTTTACATATAAGTATCATGCTTTTCAAGCTGACAACTTTATATCTGACTTGGATAAAAATGATACCATTCATTGAAGAGCTATAGGTTTATAGAACAATTTCACAGATAGCTCATCTCCTAAGCTAACATTAATTGAATATGTTCTATTTGGAGGCTATTAGATGCTGAGGAGGATTCAAAATCTTGGAACAACCACATAGCTCTGGAGGACATACAAGACTTAGATCTTTAACACTTAATTTGCACCTTTTTTTTTAACTGTTTTTAAACCTTGTGTTTAGTTACCATGCTTGATAAGAGTGTAAGCTTACTGAAGTCATGATCAACCTAATTATGTTTGAATGCCTAGCATCAAGAATAGTGTCTTGCAAATAAGAGATTTTTCTGAATTAACATAGTACATATATTTTCTGAATTACATATAACACTGAATTATGTATAACAATTGTATATATATAATATGTACATAACATACTATATAAAATCATGATGTTAGGAAGGAGAAACATTCTCTAAAATGAGGCAACAGAAGTTGCATATGATTTTATTTATTATATATATAATAAATAATTTTATGGTGTTGAGCTTTTAAAAACAAGGAAAATAAATACAATCCAAATTAAATTGCATTGTTTCACAAGAAATGATTCTTTTGAAACATTTGTTAAAATGTTGACCAGATAGCCACTCAGTAACTGCTGGCTTCACTAACCTGTCTTAAAATTTAAATTACACTGTTTGAGCAGTAAGAAGTAATACCAATTTTTCTTCTCAGTCTAGTTACTTATAAATTTGGTTTCTCTAAATGCTACTGCATCCTTTTTTGAAAGAACATGAAATATTAGTTATTAAAATAAATAGCTTTGGTTAGAAAACTCCTTTGCAGACTAATGGTTTAGGAAGGAAAAAGGCTAAACTCTGATTAACTATTGCATAAGGGTTTACAAAAATGTCATTCCTCATAGGATTGTCAGATCATAGTTCATAGTCATAATGATGACAATAATGAATATTCATTTCCAAACACAGCTGAGGTTTAAAAAATCGATCATATAGTAAAGCATATAACAGGCTTAGCCAAGGTCCTATAAACATTTAATCTTTGGTGAAGACCATTTCTGTAAATACAGATTTTTCCATTTGAATTTTGAAAAACATTCAGTGATTGTTTGGGATATTGAATCATTCTATTATTCAAAACATATAAAATGCATGCAGTACATTCATGTAAAAATGGGCCTAGGTAAATATTTTTCAAAATCATAAAATCACTCATATTTTATAGGAGTACTTTAAGAAATGTTTTTACAATTTTATGGCTAAAAATATCCCATCTATATTATTAGTTCAGTTTTAATACAGTAGACAGCATTAAAAATTTTGGTAAGCTGAACAATGATGTATTTAGCACCTAGAACCAAAGGGACTAAACAGATCATTTATTGTAGTCTGACCTCCTCATTGTACTGATGAGCTGAGGTCTAGAGAGTAGAAGCAGAATGCCCATGATCATAGAACCAGTTAGTATTGGTGTAGAATATAAGAAACTCCTTACCTCTCATTCTAACATTATCATTTAAAGTAGAAATGGATATATGTTTGAACCAACCTTTGCACCTTTCAAGGACATTTCCAGCACTGATGAATTTGTCCAATGACAAGTCTTTATTTAATGCTTACTATTAACTAAACACTGGAGGTGCAACTAGCAACTCAGAAATAGCCCCTGCCTTCATGGAACTAGAAAGAGAAACTGATAGGAAATAAATGCTTAGATAGTAACTATGAATTATGGTAAGAATAAGTGCTGAGAAAGAAAATTACTGAATGTCAAGAGATGACCTAACAAAGGTATTTAGTGTAGTCTGGAGGATCAGAATAGCTTCTCTAAGGAAGGAACACTTAAGTAAGAATTATAAAGGTGGAAATGTAGATGAAAAGCATTGCAGAAAGAAGAACTATCAATTATTCTGACTCTGAGGTAGAAAATAAGGTAACATTTCCAAGGAACTTAAAAAGGGCCAACATGGCAGGACACTGAGCATGAAATGGCATGAGAAGAGGCTAGACAGAGGTAGGCTTTTAGAGGTCACATTAATAGTTTCATACTTTATCCCCAAAGGAGAGGTATCAAGAAACAACAATGAACTAAAACGAAGACACGGAAAATCTTCTCTAAGCTTTACCACTCATTATCCAATCTTACAAAAACATTGGTTAGGGAAATCCTATGAAGATCTTATAATCCATAGATACATACCTCTAATAGTGTTTCTAGAGTTCTGTGTCCTGAGATGAGCCTTAACAAAAAACCTCTCTTGCATTTGAATCCTAGTGACACTTTAATAACAAGCCTGATTGGACTCAACACCGAACAACAGGTCCTACTATCCAAACTACCTCGTGGTGGACTTCTTGCATGTCTTTGAGTATGTAACACTGGTCTACAGCTTGAACCTATGGAATGTATTATGTCTGAGTCATTTCATAACACTGCCGTGTTTGGGAAGAGAGGCATGCTCTGCCCCCTGAATAACCAAATTCATTTCAAATTATAATGAGTGGTGTCACAGTGTATCTAATATTTACCATAATGTGAAATATTTATACCTGCTTTCTGTGATAAAATCATGTAAGATCTCCAACAGAGAGCACCATAGAAAAAAGGTGCAAGGCCTTTAATTCTCATAATTACATTATTTTCATATAATCACATAACCAGTCATCCAGTTGTCCCCCCAATCATTCATGTGTTAATTCAACAAACATTGAACACTGATTCAGTCAGGTACTGTGTTAGCTATTTTACATTTGTTATTTTGATTAATTTCAAAATATTATATGTTAGGAATTACCTATTTTAGAGTTATTCTCACTTTAAAGCCCATGTGCTTTCTGCTTTTATATGTTAACAGTATTTAAATAAGCTATACAGTGAATCACAGTGAAATCCATTTCCTTTTCCCAGTAGCAGACACAAGAACCCTTG